AAAAGGTGGCTATTAGTGAGAATAAATAAAACAGAAGGTGCTTTACTAGTCTTTGCAGACCTGCAGCAAAGTAGAAGAAGTCAGAGCAGAGACTTTATACTCATTTTTTTCTGTATTAGACTGGATAGTTTCCTTGCATTTCTACTGTATACAAGGGTTAGCTAGTGTAGAAGACAATGAATTGACTCAGAAAAGCATATGAACTTGCATTTTCATACAATAGCTGTATTAGTGCAGAATAGCCATTTTAAGCGGTGTGGGCTTAGTGAGAAAAAGTGATGATTCTTGTTGTCTTCCTGTGTTAGAAGAAGGTGATAAAAGGTTAATATAGAGGGATTTCATCTTATTGTAGCTTTGGGAGTATTTTGGAAATGGTGGGAGTAATTAGAGCATTTCACAGTCTTATTTGCTGCTACTTAACACGAAACGTTAGAGCTAGAGAGGTAATTACTTAACTCAGCTTCCTCTTCTGGCAAAAAGATCTGTTCTATAAATCTGTTCAGTTGTATAAATCTCCAGGTTGAACTGGTTCAGTTTTTACTGTGCTATCCTTGAGTATGCCCATTCTTCGTAATAATGGTGCAAGTCTTGACATGTTGCCACGACTCATAAACAGCTTGCAAAGTCTCTTACATGGAGGAAGGAGTTAGTAAAATTGAAATCGGGCAACCACAGCTAAGCCTGGTATGGTTACTATTAGTATAATTAAATATACTTTTAAGTCACAGTTCTTCAAAAAGTATTCTGATAGTGACTCATAACCTGTTACAGGCTCTGTCCTGCCATTATTTCTCATGCAGAAGCTCTGGAGACGAATAGGCAAATAAAGGATTCTTCAGTCTTGTACCGATCCCTTCACCAAAAGAGGAAAGGGAACTGGCTTCGGGTTATACCAAACTAGAAGGTTATGTGGTGAAGTGAAAAGATGGAAAAAAAAAATATTTTAGTCAGTACAAATATTTTGCTTAAACATGGTGTCATCTAACACTTTAAAACCACATGTACATATTCCAAAAAAAAAAAAAAAAAAAAAAAAAAGGCATTTGAGTTTTTTCCGTGATAGTTTTGAATCTTTGTGGAGAAAGGCAGAGAGATTTCTAGGCTTGGTCCTTTCTTAAGTAATTGTTTTCTCTGATCACAATTTGATTCCACTAAAATTGTTTTCATATCCCAGTCTGACCCAACCAGTTTTAGGTCTTCACAATTAGCCTGGTCCTCTTCTGTGCCCTAGCAGCAAGGACTGTAAGAAAAGGTAACATAAACTGGCCAACAGAAGCTATTCCAGTGAAGGAAATATTATTGCTGATATATTAAATTACTGTTTCATGGAAGCATCTGGCTGTGACAGGCTGTGGAGCAGGGGTTAGAGCTTTCTGCATCGCCTGCCAAGTGTCTGTGCTTAGTTCTGAGCCGAGCAAGGGTCGCTCTCATGATTCCAGTGACTGGTTTAGAAGTGGGATTAGTGCCTGGGTTTGAAACGCCATGTGGTGCTCAGCCTAGACTAGGCCATCAAGCTAGATTTTGTGCTGTCAGTAACAGCTGTCATCAACATTTCCTTAAATCTGCCTTTGGAAGGGGTTCCTCCTGTAGCCTTAGAGATAGATTCACAATCATGCTTAAAATTTGGGGTCAAGCCAACTTGGACCAGAGCGAGTTGTAGTAGAAAGGACTTTAGAACTAGGTTTAATTCCAATAATGTGCGACTTGTTTTGATTTTATTTCTCTGCAGAAAAGCTATACTTCAGTGGTTTTAGTGTCTATTTAATAAATCACAGCAAAACCAGTAGTTACATCTTTGGAGGGACCAAAGGAAGGCAGCAAATAAATGACATTTTTCTCATATGGCTGATAATGACTTGTGCCTGTCATTTGCTATTCCCTGTTTATCTGACCTATTAATGGAGGGCAAAATTCCAAAGAAATGTTTAATTAACATTTGTAATTAGTATTACAAAAGACCCTGCTTTATAGAACAGGCGGCTCGGAGAGAAGGGCCAGGGAAAGACAAGCTCTTCACCCTGTAATTATTGCGGCTCTCCGTAGTGCTCCCGTTCATCTCATTAACATCACAGTGGGATGGTGCCACTGCAGGCTACTGGCAGGTGTCTAACTGCCTTCCTCCTGGGGAGACTTCTACAAAAGAGGTCCTGATCTGCAAATAAGTTTGAAAGCTTGCCAGTGGAGTACCTCGCTCCAGCTTCGAAGCCTCCTGCTTCCAAAACACCCCGAAGACTTTTCATTTCAAAAGATAATGATACTCTGGGGAGCTGGCTGCTTTTTAATTGGGGGGGAAGGGGAGGAAGGAGGGCCAATACAAGGCTTGTCTGACAAAATATGCTACTTCAATAACTTGCTTCAAAAAAAAAAATTAAGCTAAGAAGGGAACTGTAGATAGATAAACAGAAGGAAAGCCTGAGTCATGACTTGAAAATCATTAAAAAGGAGTCAGCACATAAAGAACCGTGGGTTAAGTTTTTGTGTGTGAATTTTTTTTCCTTCTCGATTGACTTCCATCTTCAAATAAGAATGAATAACTATCATATCAAATAGTGCACTTTGGTGAATAATTGTGAATATTTTCAGGAGAGTGGGAGGGAGAAAAGATGATTTTACCTTTACTCCTTTATAAAATATTATTAATATGGCAGTTTCAAAGCTTGCTGTATTCATTTGTTCTTCAGTTCCCAGCTTCAAGTCTTGTTTTCACATGGGACTCTTCCCTTTTCATGAAAAATACTTAGTAAGTATTTAACCATAAGTGTATAGTACCAAGATAAAGGGAAAAAAAAAGTAACGTATTAATACATATTTTCAAACCAAAGGGGAAAAAAGGTAATGCATTAATAGCTATTTTAAAGCCAATCTCATGCCTTTTGAAGAAATTATTTTTATTTTTTTTAGAAAAATTGAAAATGGCTGCAGTGAGCTTTTTCATTACAGCCCTAAGTAATGAGGCAATAAACATATGCAATATGTGGCAGGAATGGAGTCAGCAAGTACCTAATATCTGGAAAAGTCCTAAATTAGGAGCACATCCTACAGATTTTACTGGGATTGTTCTTGTAATAGAGAGTTTGTCAGCCACAGTGTATTGCTTACAGTGATGATTAGGGGGACATTATAAATTTGCATAACAGATAAACTAAACCTTTCTCTTCTAAAGAGTTTTTGCATATGGAGGACCCAGAAAATGAGAGGAAATGCTCTGCTGAATCTAGAAATCTCCCTAGCTTGCTGTATTACCTGGAGTGAACCACCGCAGTCATGCGACCTGTAATTTTAAGAACACACTGTTCAATTTAGCAAAAGGAATCAATACCACATTTATTTGTTGCTGTTAGAGCATGGATTGCTGTTCTAGGAGCCCTAACCCTGGCCCAGTTATATGTTATAGGATTCTGTTTAAATATTGAGCAGAGAGATGGTCTGTGCCCCAAAGCAAGCATGAGGGAGTGGACAGAAGCAGATGGAGGATAAGAAAACAATGTGAGGGTATAGGGCTGCATAAAAAGCAGAATTGCATGTATGGTTGTTGTTATATTTTAGGAGCATTTTGAAGGCATATGTGAAAGAAGATAATGTGATAGTTGTACAGATGTTTACCAGTTACTTATTTTTAAAATACATCTAGTAGAGGATGGAAATTCATGAGTTGATTGAAGGCAGCTGTCAATTTTCTGGCAGTATGGGCTGATAACTAGGATATTAGAGTATGTAATCCTCTAATATAGATTTGAAGACAAAAATTGGTAGTGGAGTTAGCCACATGAAACTCTGAAAGAGAGCTGATGAAGTCCCATGATTTGCTCTTTGGAGTTTGGACTTCCATCTGTTTATAGAAACTTTAAGAACTGACGTTGTAAAATACAAACATATCCATGAAATTCTGCCAGTCTGCCCCCAGCCTGCAAATAATTAAAAGGCATATTTAACTAGTGAGACACACTCTGAGCACACACAGCTCCTAACTTCACCGTCTGACCTATGTCCTTTGCAGATCTCCTCCGTGGAACCGCTCTCCCAGTGTGAAAAATCTACTGCAGGGATTATAGTTGCACTACGATATTTTACTTTGAGCAGGAATAGGGAAATTGAGGGGAAGTGACTCACTCATTTGTGTGAAAGAAGCTTGGATATTACTCTAAAAGTCCTTAAAAGATCTAATATACTTAACTCTATCCCTATTTCTCATAAAGCGTAGGTCAGTGCACTTTTTGTTATGTGGTGATCCATACTTCCATCCTACAATTTTTCTGTTATTCCTGACTTTTCTGTAAAATGGGGGCAAAATTACTTGTTTACATCAAAGTCTTTTGTGAAACATACTTAAAGTGTAGAGTGTTTTGTGGTATATTTGTTACGAATAGGGCTAAGTAGCATATTCATAGTTTCTATTAATTGGGTTGTACACAGCCACAAATGGCACCTGCTTTTTACATCTAGCAGGGCTTTCAGATTTCACTGTCCTCACCTTCTACTGCTCCCAATAAAAACAGGGACCCTTTTGAATGTACCTGTCCTCAGATTTCTTTTTCTTCTGTTGCCCAAGGTATTAGATATATATGTCTTGAAAGCTACCAGCCAAAATCAAAAGCTGAGGAGATAATATGATGGAAAGAAAAATATGATAGCTCCCTACTTTAAAAATTTAGGCAAATGGGGCAGAAACATGTATTCAAATTACTGCAGACTATATGAAAAGGTCCTTTAAAGAGGATGTATGGAAAGATATTTGAATAGAGGAATTTAAAGGTGGGGGGCATAGCAGTTAACCTCTATATTTGAACACTTTTAATGGTAGTAGTGGTTTTTTTCCTTCTTCTCTTTTCTGTGCGTGCAAATTAATTACTTCTCCTATACATAAGCTTTTTTTCTCATTTTTATTTTTCCATTCTGATCAGGAATGTTTGTTGTTTGTTTGTTTTCTGTAGGTCACCAGGAATGCACAGAAGTGCCTGGGTCACAGGACCCAGTGTTGTATCAGGGAACCTTGCAGTTGATCTTGGCAGAATGGTATGAGGAGCCCCGAACTTCAGAGACAAATGAGTGCAGTGCCTTGGCAGCACCTGGGAGAGAAAAGCTGACCTGGAAAATCACAAGGTATGTGGTGTAGATGTAACAGCTTCTTTGCAGCTTCTGCTTCAAATCTATTCACACACAAGGGGAGAGAGTAGAAATACAGAAAAGTTAAAAAAAAAAAAAAACAAAAAAATAAAAGTCATAAAAAGCCCTAGCAATGTTAGGTGGAATATAGGCTAGAGCAGGCTTGCTCTTTTGAACTTTTGAAACTACTCTCCTTTGCCTTATATGAAAGTACACATTTTCCCTTAATATGTATTGTTTTCGGATAAAGCCATGGTATCATTAGTCTTGAATTCTGGACCGATACAAAGTGGGATGTAAAAAACCCAATAGCAATCAGTTACCTGGAATGAGAAATCCATACGATGAGTGTGGCAAATCTTTACCTTTGAAGGCTAAAGCTAAAATTCTTTGTTATGATCTCAGTAAAAGTGAATTTGGTGATGTATTACATGTTGTAAAAGTATGATATTACCTTCAGTTTCTACTGGCTGAAAGCTATATCAGGGATATAGCTTCTTTTTTTTTTTTTTTTTTAATCTCTCCTATTTGAGAATCCTTGAACCAAATACAGATAGTGTATAAATAAGTGTAACCTACTGACCCTCTGTCCCACTCTGTGTCCTATATTTGAGCTTTGCTATGCTGAAAGGAAGGAATTACATTCCCAGAGGGATGAGGGATGAACAGGAAGATTACTGTCTTTTTTTCTTTTTAAAAAAAAAAAAAAAAAACTTTTGTCCTTCCTATCATTGGTTTTCAAAAGATCCTCCTCCATCTTGCCTTTGCATATTCTCATGTATACTCTAATTATTTATGATCCCTTTGGTAATTTGATTAATGGCTGAACTGCTGGTACTGTAGTTCAGCCGTGCCTGCATGCCATGTAGCTGTATCTGAATGAGGTTAACTGGCTTACGTGGATTTCAGTTGGTACATTGGTTGGTGAATGAAAGAACAAGTTTTACTTCTGATTTCATAAACCACCGTAATTATTCTAGCAATCATCAGTATAATTTTTCTGCTGTCTGTCTCCAAATTCCTTGTTAGATTAACTTTACCTAACAAGCCATCAGCTAACCTCTTGCTTTCAATGCAGTGACAATTTAGGGTAAGATGTGCCTTTTTTTTTCTGTAGTACCTGATGATGAAATTCTACAAAGTTGGAAACTCTCCTTAATGAGATGAGAGGCACCTTGCCGCAGGGGTGGCAGTTTATAACTGCCAGCCTGGGCAAGCTGCACGTTCGCTGTGTGTATCTCTGGGATCTAATTCTGAGGTACTGTATTTGCCAGGTACTGTTTTTTTAATGCCTATATTTATCAGGCACTTGAAAGACGCAGAGTGAAAAATGTTCTGCACAAGCCATTGTCAAACTGTGGTTGCTTTCAGTTTGGATTATTGCCCCAGGTCACACTTTTACATGGTGCAAGTCTGGAAATGGACTGACCTTAGAGCGCACCTGGAAAGCAGGGAGACTCTGTCTTTGCCAAGCTGTGGATAGGCAGGAGGATCAAGTTACACAACTAGGCAAATGGTAATGTTAATTGTACTTTATTTAAGCAAATGTACTTTTTTGTAATTTGTGAATATACTATTAAGTCAGTCCTTTTGGGACATTGCTTCTCAACCATCAACTTTTATGTCCCAAAAATCAACAATGCGGAATAGAATGTGACCAAAGGAAACTGATATCTTCAGATATTAAAGCCTCATATCTTAATTTGTGCATCAGGGTTAGACCTGCCAAAATCTGTGTGCAATTTTCTCTTCTAGAAAGTTGGGATATATTCTTTTCTTTTGTTGTTATGTAATCACTCAAAATGTAGGGCTTTGCATTATAAAGCTAGTGATTTAACAGAAACAATCTAGAAAGTAGTTGCCAATCAGTCATTCCTTGCAGACATCCCTCCTGGCGTATGCATGTTGGCCTTTTTGAGGTAAACATCATTAACCTTTTTTTTTTTTTTTTTTGGGTTTGTATTCCAATTCTTTTTGTAATTGAAATTCAGTTCACACTTGCAGCACAGCCTCCTTTTGGATTCTAAACGTTGTGCAGTATGCAGATCACTCCATCTTCCTTTGCTCCTTGCTGCTTACTGCTGCAGAGCCAGAAGCTTCCAGCCAGCAGCTACTGCAGTGATTTGACTCCAAGGGCTCTGATGGAAAAAGCCATCAGTGAGGATGGCTCTTGCTGGAGAGGAGCGTGAGTGCTCCTCAAAGGAAAGATCTCAGGAGACCCTCTGGATCACCATAGCAGGCAAAAAGCCTCTCTGCCGCCTGCAGCTGAAGTGTGAAATGTGGATACTGCAGTGGGCTTTAGGCTGCATCCAGGGTTTAAATGCAATTACACTCCCTGCCTTTTCTATTTTTAATAATGCAGAAAAAGTTACTCAGGAGCCCATGATGTTGAGATAGGTATGCTGACTTCTCAGCAGTGAATTATGTGACCCTAAGAGCTTCTGTTTCACATACAGAATAGTGGGAAGGCTGCATTTTCTTTAATCAGATATCTCTTGAGTCACCACTTCCAGTTCACTGATTAAAGGACTGTGAGGAAAAAGAAAACCAAAACCATAGTGGATGTGTATAGGGGCTTCTGGATACAAAGAATGGCTTGATTGAAACTTGAATCTTATCTCACTTTGTAAGCAGCTTTCTAAAATCTAGTGGAGTATTACAAAAACAACACCAGCAACAATAAACCAGGGTTGCTAATGTATCTACAAACTGACAGCCACTCTTTAGTTAGAAATTAAATATAATGGAAGTCAATGCTAATATCTCAGACATTGGGCTCCTTCTTTCGAGTGAGCTCAGTAAACTTCCTATGTCTGTCAGCACGAACAGGACTGAGCTCAAAGGTTAAAAATTACATCATCAGGTATATAAAAAAATATAATATTAGAATCTTGTAGAATTCTGGAAAGTTTATTACAGACTGTGGTCCAGGGCACGATGATTCTATGAGGTTTCTAATTGGTATTTAACTGCCACAGAGGAAATCCTGAAGCTTTTCTTGGCTGTCTCTCCAGTGAGGAGGAGAACCTCTGTGAGGTCTTTGCAGTATTTCATCCACATTGCATCTACATGGGGACAGAGTGGAGTTTACTCACCTGTATTTTTGTTAGATCCCTATGCCCTCAACGATCCCATACACCTCTACATTAAGGATAGGACAGAGGGTTATCCCTGAAGTGACTCTAATTCATGTTCTCTCTCCTTTGCCAAATATAAACAAGAGTTCAGGCTTCTTGAATAATTCGTCAACCAAAGCTTCTTTAAGGAATGATTTATCCCACTTCCTGACTCCATAAATCAGAGGCAAAGAATCATGCTGTCTAAATCGAATTATGTTCATAGCTAGAACATGGACATTAACACAAGTATCTTTTGAAGTTATTTGGCTCCAGAAAACTAAAGAGTTAGATTAATCTACTGTTTGCAGATCTTTGATATTTTGTATTACTTCAGTGTTTATTGACTTTTTTTTCTTTCCTGTTTTTCTGTTTGGAATGGGAACTGTGGGAAACTGTGCCTCTGAGAAAGCATTTAATCATTTCCTGGGTTCCTGTTATATTGTGCAGAACCTCAGGGCAGTTGGTACTCATGCCAGACAAAACTGATGTGTTTCACTCCCAACTTTGAATCCTTATTGAAGAGCATAATGCTAAGTGCTGCAAAATAACTTTCCCCATGAAATCATATGACCTACTGGAAAAATTTGCCGATCCAGACTTAGTGGTGAGAAGAAAAAAATATTTTTTTCAAGATTCTCTAGAAAAATGGTCTCTGTGTTCCTCAAATTCCATTTCCTAGTGGAACATAAAGCTGTTATTTTTCTCTTTTGATTATATCTATTTTTATGGCCTTGTTAAAATTTTCTCTAGTCACTTCTCTACCTAGTGCACTTAGCAACATATAATGCACTTAGCCAAATATATATACTGATATAAGAGCAACTACCTCGCTCTTTAGTTACCAGGCTACAGATGACTCTTTAGATAACAGGTCTTCTCTCCTCCACATGGTATTGGAAAATGACCCAAGTCTTGATATAATTGGGAAACAACCTGGAGAGGGAGATCTGAAAAATGAGAGGTCCACCAGCTCTTATGCTGGTGTTACTGCAATTCAGGATCTTGATGGGCTGACCTTATGTCTCTGTCCTGGAGGACAGCTGAAGCTTGTGATGACTGCTCATTTATTTTCAAAAGATCTTTGTATCCAAAAGAGTAAACAAGGAACTCATTGCTCATTTGTTTTCTACATTATTTGAGCAACTTTTCTGTGAAATTGCCAGATATATCTTTGTGCTCTTTGAGCCTTGAATTGTTCTACAGTGTTTATATGACTTGCAAGGTCTGGATTTGGAGTTGATTCCGTGAGATTGCTTGTAAATACACACTGATCATTGGATTTTATATTAATAAATAATACACTGAAATAATGATGATAGTTGCGAGTGAACCTGACTTACCATTTGATTGCTTCCACTTTTCATTGGGAACATTAAGAATGGGAGTTAATTTAAATTGTATGTATTATTCAAGGCATGTCTTTTAAACATCTGATGGTATCATTAATATATATGTAGAGGGCAATTTCAGAGACACATGTTTGATATAGAAGTATTCAAAATGTGTAACAAGTAATGATTCCTTCTTTTGTGAAGTTGTAATTAAGTTATTAAAAATTCATCCTTCAAAATATGAAAATACATATTTCTTATGCATCGATTCATTTTAAATATGCTGCGTATTTTTTAAATCTACATAAGAGACACTGTGGCTTGCCTTATGGATGCTGCCCGGCACTGCGATAATATGGCGAATGAATAGATGCATTTTGATTTTATAAACTAATCAAATTCACGAAGAGCTAGATACCATTGCCAGGGATTGCCTGATGCTTGCTCTCTGTTACAGGTATTGGATGGACTGGTTTAGCTCATATGATTTGTAAATGAAGGTCAAAGTGAAGACCTGGAAGCCCCTGGTTCATATAACTGTCCCCCTGAACTGCCAAACGCTGATGAGAATGAGACTGATCTGGACAGAATGGCTCAAGCAATTAACAGGGAGAAACTTATCTGACCATGACATTGAGTGTACCATGATGCAGGACATGTTACCTTTCCAGCAAGTTCAGACGCCTGGAGGGCTTTTAGTGTCATACTTGGAGTGAAAAAGGAAAGGATAAGATGGAGTTGACTGCACATGATGCAAATTGTAGTTTCACTCCCAGACTGGCAGCTAGTCTCTCATGTTGAGCAAAGTTCCCAGCTTTGTACCCTAGGGACTCACGCGGATGGTTTTGGATGAGTAGTTTGATTTGCGTGGCTTCATTCCTCAAGTTTTGCTTCAAATTCTGGACTTGAGTTTATTTAAATTCTCAGAAGTGACAGTCATTTAAGTTGCCAAGTTTCATTTGGTTTTGTGTTGAAAGTGATGGCAATTTTTCCGGATTAGTAAAAGGATTAAGGTCTGATAACTCATCAGTATTAGAGGCAGACTCTTCATACTGTTAGAAAGCTGCAAAGACTACTTTTTCCTCTGTCCAATAGAAAGAGGAGTCTGCTTCCAGACATGATAGGTCCTCTAACATCAAGTGTTAATCCTTGAATATTATTGAGTATGAAAAAGTTATTTTTGGTAATCTTTAGACCTTTCCGAAATTCATAAGCTCTTATTATCTCTTCTCTTGAGTTTTTTTAAGTGGGGCTTTGAGAATTAAGGAAACCCTGTTCCTTTCTTTTTTTTTTTTCCTTTTTCTTTTCTCTTTTTATTTTTTTAAAGCAATATATGACACACAGCACCAATAAAATTTCTCAGCTTTTAAGTTCCGCTAAAATAATATGTCTGTGTCATATGTGGCGCCTCACTGCACAAATTTTATGCTGGCGTGACATAAAGCTTTTGACTAGACTTTATTGAAATGATTTCCCTAATGTGATTGTGGTTTTGCTACTCATGGATTACACAGACATCTTAAACCCATGTTTGTAAAAGCCTCTCTTAGGCCCTGAAGAAGGGCAGTGGAGGAGCAGGGATCTCTGCAGAGACACTTCCTGACTCTGTCATCTGCAGGGCAGCTCCCTGCATGATCCTTACTGAATAGGGTGGAGCTGGGAACCAAACTTCATGGGCACTTAAAACGTGAACAGCTTTGCAGTGCCTACTACTGTTTAGTCAGTATGTTTGCTAGGCTCTCCTTGTGAAACAAACAAAGAATAATGATTGGGTGGCAACTGGGATTAATTTGTTTAAATTTGCAAGTGAATTTTCTTTTGGGAAGGAATATTTTTCTTCCTCCCTTTCTTTAGCTTCATTTCCACCAGGGCTATTTTTAATGCCTTTTCTTTTTGAGTGTCTGTGATGCATGTCTTTCGTAAAATCAAGTCATCACCTACGAATATTTAGTATCTATCCTTTTAAATGAGAAGTTCCCACAAGATGTTGCTTGTTAGTCTGCTGCCTAGCATCAAATCAGAAGTAATATCAATAATCTTTAAAAGTGTTGGGTTTAGGAATAGTTGTTTTGTTTTCAGAATTTCCCATGCTTTCTCTTAGTTCCATTAAGCTGTGAGGCCACAGGTTACAAGAATGAGCTTCTTAAAAAACACACAGCTAATTTTCATTAAATTAAATCATTTTCTATAAAAAAGGTATTTTAACGCTTTTTAGGCTTTTATTAAAAAGTAGCATTTATAAAATGGAATGATGAGTGATTGCCATGTTGATACTATAATGTAGGCAATAGATACAATTCATATGGCATAAGCAATAAGCTCTAAAAGTGTTTTTTTGGTTGAGAACATCTTTATGACATACAAATGGACTTGTCATTAGCAAACAGACCAGCTTTTTGAAAACCAAGCTTGTGAAACACACTGCTTACATACCATGTCAGAATATATTTTTGACTGCAGAGTGCTCTCTTTCCTTAGAGGCTCTGAAATTAGCTGTTTCAGGTCAGTTTTTGATGGCCTTATTCAATTAAGCAGCACATATGTGGATATATGCCAGGCTGCAGAACCCTTTTGAGGTGAGAAATTTGTGC